ATTATTAATGAGAGGGGCTGTTCGATGTGAAGTGACGTCACCCGCTCATGATTATAAATTAGGGGGATATTCATGTGGAGGACGTCACCTATTCATGATTATTAATGAGGGCTGGCTGGTCAATATGGAGTGACATCACGTGCGGGACACACAGACATTCTTGGCTCATTATAGTAGTCAATTAGTAGGACCGTGCATTGGGCCTAGAAGAAGACAGTCTCACTCTGACAGTATTAATGCAAAGATTTAAAGGTCACAATACTCACAGTTAAGTTTTCGTGCGCACTTGCTTTCATGCGCATGCCAATTATCAGAAAATCCTGGTTAGTGTTCAGTATCAAAAACCAGCAGCAGTAGTGCTACTGGATTTTACACTGTGTATTTTTCGGAAATGCAATTTTTTCATTTGCAACAAAGTGTTCTTTTTTTCTGCCACTGACGGCTGAGCACAAAGCTCCTGTCTGACTGAGAGACACTAACACACTAATTTTTATTTTACCAGGTAAGTCCCCACTGAACTATATTAAAGCATTTTTTTAAAGCGACCTGTCCACATATGATAGCTCAGCGAAGCGGCGTATCATCACGTGGAAACTTATAGCAGCCAAATACTCAAAACGCACGTTGATTCTAAATTTTGAGGAAAACACGGAGGACCCTGAGAAAAATCCACACGACCACGGGGAGAGAGACATGCAAACTCCAAATATTCAGGCATCGGGATCGGACCTCATGCAATTCAGGCAAGGTAGTTAACATCTCGCAAAGATGGTTGAGGGATTGCAGAAATTGTTACTTTTAAGACTGCAGCTAGAAAATGTTATATGTTTAATGAACCTTTGGGTTAAACCGGTAACCAAAATCTTTTTTTATTTTAGCGTGACAAATTTAATTTATATGTACGTTAAACTTCTTTCACACCGTGCGGGGCAAATGACAACAAACCAAACACAAAGCAGTTCTAAAGAAATGAGTTTGTTAATCGAGATGATGATTTAAAAGTGCATAGCTCCATTGACTTCCGAATATCGGAAAGAAGAGCGTTCCAGATGGCCACAGAAGCGCATCTGAAAGTGCGTGATGAATTTGGGTTCGGTTTCATTTCAATAAGATTTACAGTTACTATTCCGGTATTCGTTTCGGCTGGACTCTCTGGTGAAAGCTGCATTACCAAGCTGCAGCATGTACAAAATACTTTGGCACACGTTGTGACGGATACTGCAAGATCCGACCATGTCAGTCCAGTGCTCGCTGAGCTGAATTGGCTTCCGGTTGCTGAACAAATATATTATACTCTTTGGTTCTTTCAGTAAAGTCACGTAGATAGAAAATTAATAGATCACGACGTTTTGATCGCAACACAAGCAACCGTCATCAGGTGAAAGAAACACAGCAGGAGAACTGCTGTCGTAGGAGAAAGAGTTGCTGCAACAAGAGTTTATAAAGCTTTTGGTGGTGCAACCCAATGGTAAGTGGGAGGAGCTAGAGAATGATTTTTTACGTAAATGTAGATGTAAGAGATTAGCACGTCAATGTGAGACGGCTCCAGCAACCGGGGGTGTGCCAATGAGAAGATTAGCATGTCAATGTCAGAGAGCCGGGCAACAGGATACCCGCAAGAGCAAGAGATAATGTCGCATTCATTACACACAAAGTGCTTTCCACAAATTAACCAAAATTCTTAGCTGATCTCGTCAAGGAACATAAAGCATCACGCAAACTCCGGTCATCTTCGCAGCAGTGGCTTTTGGCTAACCATCGAACAAAGATGTTCACTACATCGCACGCTTTCGGATGCGCGAGAACGCTCTTCCTTCTGAAATTAGGAAGCCACTGGAGCTATGCACTTTGAAATCTAGATTTGAAACTCGTTTATTTAGAACTGCTTTTTGTATTTAGTTTGTTACCCTTCCCCAGCACCTCCGATTAACATGGTTGGTTACGTACGGTGTAAAAGAAGTTCAACATACATACGTACAAAAGACGTGTTTCCCACAATGCAAACAAGAGTTTATCTCTGGTTCTTTTGGTAAAGTCACGTAGGTAGAAAATATTATAGATCACGACGTTTCGATCGCAACACACGCAACCGTCTTCAGGTGAAATAGAGGGGGAATCTGCGAGGCAGGCTGTTTATAATGGTTTCGAGATTGGTGGAGCAGCTAATGTAAATGTAGGAGCGAGCAGGAGAGTGCGAGTAGGAGAGAGAAATCTGCTTGTAAATGTAAGCTCGGCGAGGGCCGAGCTTGGCCAGGGCCCATAAACCTGCTTGTAAATGTAAATTTAAGCTCAGCGAGGGCCGAGCTCGGCCAGGACCCGGGAATTTGCTTGTAAGTGTAAATGTAAGCTCAGCAAGGGCCGAGCTCGGCTAGGGCCCGGAAATTTGAGAGTTGGCTAATATGGGCAGGTAGGAAGGGAACATCAAAGCAGTTAAAACTTTACCTGGTTGAATTTCGATTTAAAGCTTTTGTGACTGAAGGTATTCATATTCTTGGGTCTTTCGGTAAAGTCACGTTAAAGGGTTGATCACGTTCTTCCAATGATTGCTTAATTTGCATCCATCTTCTCGGTTGAAGTTATGTCTGTGTTTATAAATTTGGATGGCTTCATGGACAAATGTTTGATGGTAGCCCAAAGGTTTGTAGAGTACCTTGGTCTCGGAAAAGACAATATTGTGTGAGCCCCCCGCGTTCAAACAGTGATCAGCTACGGCAAAGGTATTAGTTCTGCCGTGTTTCAAATCTGCCTTGTGTTCGCGAACACGGTCCGAGACATGTCGTTTCATTTCCCCAATGTAACTGCTACCGCAGACACAACTTAGTTTGTAGACACCAGGGTATTGCATGTCAAGAATCACATCTTTCACGGATGGGATCAAATCACGGATTTTGTGTACTGTGTTGGATCGAACCTGAATCTTGTGTTTGTTCAAGATTTTGGATATCTTTTTGGTAACCTCTGCTATGTATGGCAAGGTGATGGTTTTGATTTGGTCCTCAGAGGGTTCTCTCCCTATGGTTGGGGATACAGCTTTGCGGATTGTGTGATCCGAATATCCATTCATCTTGAGGGCTTGGCATACATGCTCCAGTTCACTGGATAAGTGGTGCTGGTCGGAGATGCAACGGGCCCTATGGTGTAGTGTTTTGATGAGGGAATTCTTCTGGGCTGGATGGTGGTGGGAATCAGGCTTTAGATAGGAATCCGTGTGGGTGGCTTTCTTGTAGACAGTGTCCCAATGAGCCATCAGGTCTCTTCTCGATCAAAACATCCAGGAATGGTAGCCTGACATAATTTGGTGTATGGAATTGATGTGGTTGAAAAATTGGTTCAGTGGTTGCAGGCCATGTGGCCAAATGACGAACGTGTCATCTATGTATCTGTTCCACAAGTAAGGACGTAGGGTGGGTGTCTGGATGGCATCTGTCTCAAAATTATCCATGAAAACATTTGCTTCTACTGGCGATAAGGGAGAACTCATTGGGGTACCCTCATTTTGTTTGTAGAATGTACCATTCCAGGTGAAGTAAGTGTTGGTAAGGCACTGCCTTACCAAAGTTGGTACATCTGGATTCAGTCCCTGTTGGACCAAGTCTTCAATGATTGCAATGGTGTCAGGTACAGGTACCTTGGTGAACAAGGAGATAACATCAAAACTAACAAGCAGATCATCAGGAGACACTGAGATGTCCTTAATTTGAGAAACCAAGTGAGCTGATTTAAGTACAGCTGAGATGGCCTTGCCCGTTAAAGGAAGCAGGGTCTCAGACAGTAATCGGGCCAGTTTGTAGGTGGGTGAGTTAATGGTGGAGATGATAGGATGGAGTGGGGTACCTTCTTTGGAAGGCCATAAAATCTGGGTGATCTAGCAGCTGAAGGTTTTAGAGAAAGCTGCTTGGTCGGTTCGATTAGAGAAGCCGAATTACTGATGATATTGTTGGTTTTCATAGCCAGGCGGTTGGTAGGATCTCTATTGATTTTAGTATAGCTGCCATCATTATGTAATAAAGGACTACGCCGACACACTGCTGTGTCTCCGTCTCTCTCTCTTTATTCTCGTTTGATGCTCGCACTCTACTGGTCCCAAAAGCGGACCGGCTGCTCCTCGCGCGTGCCCCGCGCGCCCCTTTCATCAGTCGCACCGCTCCCCGCTCCCGCACACCGTTGGCTGGAAGCGTCTCCACGTGGCTGATGGCGCAGGTACCCTTCGGCCACCAAACGTGGTCCTGCTCCGTGACTCCACCTATATTCCCCTCACCACGTGATCCTGTCTCCACCCTCTCACCACGCCCTTCACCGAACCTTCCAGATCCCGACCTCCGCATAGCGCCCCGCTGGCTCCGCCCTTAGGCTCCGCCCCTGCTCTTCTCACATCCGATTGGACCGGAGGTGGGCGGTGGACCTTCACATACGCCCCCATACTGGGCCCTGCCCCCAATACCCCGGGCTGTATGATTGGCCCAGAGCCGAGCAGCGAAACCCCGCTTATGCTCGCATTACAATTACAAGCAAATTTCCGGGCCCTGGCTGGGCACTGCCCTCGCCGAGCTTACATTTACATTTACCAATACATTTTCGGGCCCTAGCCGAGCTCAGCCCTCGCCGAGCTTATATTTACAAGCAAATGTATCTTTCCTACTCGCACTCTCCTGCTCGTTCCTACATTAACATTAGCTGTCCCGCCCATCTCTAAACTTTTATAAACAGCCTGCTTCAGCAGATTCCCCCTCTATTTCACCTGAAGACGGTTGCTTGTGTTGCGATCGAAACGTGGTGATCTATTATTTTTTCTACCTACGTGACTTCACCGAAAGAACCAAAGAGTATGGATTCCTGCAGTCACAAAAGCTTCAAATCAAGATTGAAGAGTTGATCTGTTCCACCAAAACCATGATACAGTGTGGCATCTAATGACTCGTGAACTGCTCATCTCCACAGCTTGGGGCGTTTGGGCCTGTGGCTGTGTCTAGTCAAGAGAAAGACATGGCAGAGACACTGGAGGTGGTACAACGTTTTTATTTTTCCGAAATCTGTCGTCAGTGAAACATGAGGCCAGGACAGGACATTCGCAACTGTGCCATGACACCAGCAGCAGTAGCTGAGATGTAATTCGTGTAAAATCCCCAAAAATATATATAGAAAAAGCAGGTAAAATTGTGGAACCATAGTCACTGGTGCTGCTGAGTGGGTGTGGTGGTGGGCAGGAGGGGTGCCGGCTGGTGGTTCCCTTAAGGTACCGAGATGCCCTCCATCATCTTGAGGAACTCTGCAAAATACAAGGACGACATCACACGCCGTTATTTGCACTTTTAAATAATCTCGATTGAAAACTAATTTATTTAGAACTGTCTTTTGTGTTTGGTTTGTTGTCTTTCCCCCGTAACCTCCGATTAGCACGGTGCGAAAGAAGTTCAACATACATACATACATTTAATTGAAGTGGTTAATTTGGGTAGAGTGGTGGCTAACATTGGTGGCAAGTGATGTGTGAACTTGTCCTGGAGTCCCTTTGTCAACCCGCACTGACCAGAGCCGAACGTTCCTCCCGATGGCCATGGCGTGGGGAGGCCAACTTTCAGCTAAAGTTGTGTGTATGTGTCATCACGTGTTTGCATCATCACGTGTTTGCATCGTATGTGATGTGTAAACATCGCCACTGGGGAGACAAAGGCGGCCGGGCGTAGTGCTCTCCACCTACCCTCTTTGTGTGCCGTGCCGGCCTTCATAGGTGCTACTTGCGAATTGCACTTGCTCCAACAGTCCGATAAGGCTATATGGGGGGGAGTTGTGTCTTTGTATCGCATGTGTCCATCAACAACCCTTGACACTCTTGCAATCAAGATGTTCCATCTCAAAGGATTTTTTTCCTCGGCGAAATATATTTAAAATGTATATTCTTTAAGGCCTGTCAAATGTTATTGATTGTAGGTTCCAGAGGTCTATTAATAAGTCGATTTGTTCCAGGGACGTGCGGTCAGGGGAGGCAGGGGAGGCAGAGCCTCACCTGTCATACTCCAATGAAAATAGCTGTGACGAAAAGTAAAAAAAAAATCTAATCAAATAAATATTAAGATTTTTCGACTGATCTGTGTTATAAATGTAATTTCTTTTTATAGTCAAAATCGCCAAATTTGCAGAGCTCCGCTGCAAATACAGGAAGAGACAAGAGGTGAGGCAGCGATGAGCTCAGCCCCCCTCTGATTGCACAACCCCTCAGTAACTGGATGAAGCGCGGGCAATAAGCGCGTGCCTGTTACTATCTCAGTATGTCACCAATGTAATGTTTGTAGACCCCTTCATTTCATGTCATCGCCTTCCATACTCCAGGCAACTTATTTCACGTATGTGTATAAAGATATTTAGGCTCGCTGGTCTCGTCATGAAACTGCAATGAAAAAGCACCAGGGGAGGCAGCTATCACATCTGCCTCACTGAGGGGGGCGTGTTAGACACGTCCCCCTCAATGAGGCCACGCCCCTCAATGAGGCCACGCCCCCTCCGTGAGGCCCACGCCCCCTCAGTATCTGAATCTGGCTCTGACACTCGCCAGTGCTTCACCAGCCATTGACCTCACCGCACGTCACTGATTTGTTCGTAAGTCCAACTTTACTCCTGTTGATTAAAAGCATGTTGTTTGGCATGTAAATTTAACACGGTGAATGGCTTTTAAAGTTGTATCATCTCTTGTTGATGTAGATGCCACTGGCTCTTTATGTTCTGCAGATGTAGATGCCACTGGTTCTTCACGTTCTGCAGATGTAGAATGCACTGGTTTTTCACGTTCTGCAGATGCAGATGCCACTGGTTCTTCACGTTCTGCAGATGTAGAATGCACTGGTTCTTCACGTTCTGCAGATGTAGATGCCACTGGTTCTTCACGTTCTGCAGATGTAGATTCCACTGGCTTTTTATGTTCTGCAGATATAAATGCCAATTCCCTTTGGTGGTCGTGTTTCCTCTCTTGAAAAACGTACCCAGATATGTCTACACAGTTGCTCTCTTCTTCTCTTCATAAATCAACTTGTAACAGGCAATAGCATCGTGAATAGCTGCCGACACCTTAGTAAACCTTTCAGTGTTTGGGTCCTGGGACTCAATACAAGCCGGTGCTTGGGACCGAGCAACCACTGCCATCTATTGCACGGCGGTTGGGCTTACGACTCTCGGTCTGAACAGGCAACTGGACATACGGACAAGTTTGTCCGTATCTCTGAAAGTTCGTAAGTCGACTGTTTGTAAGTAGAGGAGTCTCTGTAAATTTCATTGGGACCCGAGGATTTCGTGCGGAGTCCCTACACCACTTCCTGTGGCCCAGCAGCTGGTGACAGTAGTGGAGAGCCCCTCTCAGTAACTCTTCATCTCAAGCGGTGCTTCTCAACATTGTTTGGCTACTTTTGTACCCCCTCCCCCTTGTTGTTTCAACCGGGTGTACCTCCCTTGCCTGACCCAATATGGTTCTGAGAAATAAATGTATGAATAATGAACATCAATATTTTTACCAATTGCCTATTTTGTGACGTATCCTAACTAGCAAATAACTGCAATCGAATACAAGATTCAACGGACGCTTTGCACGTCATTCACGTTCGCCGGTTACTCATGGAAACCACATTGGTTACGATCAACGAGTTATTATATCGTTCTAGGGTTTCCATATGGATTTTAATGTTATCGTAGTTATTTTATTTCGGCAGAATCATACAACGTGATTATTCACCAATGACTCCATGTATGATATTTCACACATTTATAAATCACCTCACGTATCCCCTGGGAAATTTCCATGTAACCCCCAGGGGTCCCCATAACTCCGGTTGAGAACCACTGCTCTCGATCATATTTGTAAATCATTTTCAAAGGAGGCTGGTGGATCACACACATTCGTAAAACTTTCTACCCAATGGCATTGAGACATTAATCTCCTAGCTTGCTAGGATATGGTGGTACTGTGAGTGGATGAATTTCCATCTGTAGTACATCTGTAGTCCATCTGTACGGGGACTGAGTGTTACCCCCTCGCATTCGTCGCCTTTTTCCGGGTGCTCCACTATCCTCCTCCCAAACGTATAAACGCTAGAGTTGGCCAAACGGTCCGAATGTAGGACCACAGAGCTTCGGCAATTGTTCGAGCCGGCTCTGACCGCCTTCTCGCTTGTCTGTGGTTTCCCTTGCGCCTCCATTGTGAAGATTGCGTGCGCTGTAGATTCTACAGCGCTTTGCGATGCACACTTACATGGACGATAACATATTAAATATATAAATTTAGCCATTATTAACCCTTTCAGTTCGATGACGTTTGTGAACGTCATTGGAATGGAACCAGAAGAAAAAAAAATAACTTTATCAGTACCAAGGCTCCTACAAGGCCACGCGTGAGGGAGTGTAATGCAGTTTGGTGTTGGCTATCGTAGAGTGCGGCGATTATGCCGCTACGGTTTTCTGCGGGCGAGTAACGACGTCTTTGAAAACAACGGCACTGCTGCTATGCCTCCTCTACATAAAATTAACACCGAACCCGCTTGCGCGTACCGAGTATTCGGCGGTTAACGGGACCACCCACCTACTCTGCAACTTTCAGATGTTTTAGGAATGGTAAAAAGGGTTAAGAGGACCAAACAAAAATAGAGGAGGGGGGGGGGTCCACATTTCTGCGCTAACAAGAGCCAAGTTCACACACAAACCCCGCCAGAATCGCACTCTCACCATCAAAGTCCAGGCGGCCGTCGCCATTTTTGTCGCCGTCCTTCATCAGCTCGTCCATCTCCATCTCTGAGACGTTCTCCCCCGTGCTCATCAGGATCTCCTTGAGCTCATCGCGGTCAATGTAGCCGTCGCTGTTCCTGCGCGACAACGCCGTGTCCCCTCACTTGTGTCACACGATGACGACGACAACGTGCACGAAGTGCGAGGAGAGGGTGGTCTTAGCGTCGTGCGAGGCCATCGGGATGTTGCTGGATGCTTCGAGATGCTAACCACCATGCGTCTCAGTCTTTGTTCAGCCTGCGTATGCATCTCACGTGTTATCGCGGATTGTGCAGTACCCCTATGCTAAATGTTATTTATCATAACGCACTTGCCGAAACGTCGCTAGTTGTATATTGGTTCTTTTGAAGGCTACACATGGTGTTATTGATGGACGTGTTGATTTTTTTCATGTATAGTCATGTAGCGTTTATGTACGTGTAATGACTGAAAAATTAAACCAAGCCAATATGTAGTCTAACGGCTATTTGAAAATAAATAAAGGTCTCCGATTGGTAGAAGGCGGCCTCTATGGTGATTGGTCGGGAGGAAGACTTTTAAAGGGATTGAAGGAATAAGGTTTGAACGAGATTGATCAGAAAACAGAGAGTATCCATTAGTGGGGAAGGACAGGGAAGGGGGCCCGAGGAATATAATTGGAGAGAGCATGAGTGGAGACAACCACGAAGCCTAGGGTCCTTTATTGTGGTTGTGTCCAAATAAAAAGTTGCTTTTACTACTTCGTTGTCAGAGTCGTTACATATGTAGTGTAATAGCGTCGGCTGGTGACCATCAGCAACAACTGTGGTGGACAAACATCACACGCCAGTGAGCATATACATGGGTGTGTCGGCAGGGCGGAGGACCTGGGACAAAGGTCATTTTGGGCCCCATCTGGAAGCCCCTGGAACCTACTGTCTTCGCTCGATATTGCGCTGCTACATAGCCTGTTTTCTGTCTTGGTCAGCGTCGTCGATGTTAGATGGATAGTGTTGTGTATAGGCTAGCGACTGTAGAGTGTACAGGTGAGATCGTGTGTGTTCGATAAAGAAGGTGGCTCTATAAACCTCGTCTCCGACTCACTGACACTACACACACATACACATATGTTCAACATCTTTCGCACCTCACGTAGCAAACTGTGCTAATCGGAGGTGTGGTCAGCACTGGGGTTATACGTCAAACAGGAAGTCGGGAGTTCGATCCAGACCATTACGCATTTTGTATATTTTGGGTTTGTGTGTCTCTCTCTCCCCGTGACAAGATGGAGACGGAGACAAGACAGAGATGAGATCGCACACTGCGCTATGAACCCGGCGATCCGAGTTCAAAGCCCGCTCACGGTCAACACCAATGACGATTATTTGAACCAATCATGGGCCTACCCTAAGTCTACTCTACCTCAAATAGGTTCCTGGTGTGGTTTGTGAACATCGCCACTGGGGAGACAAAGGCGGCCAGGCGTTGTGTTGGCCACCCACACCTCGTGTGCTGTGTTCGCCTTTGTAGGTGCTCGTGAACAGTACTTGCCCCAACAATCTGTTCAGGCTATATGGAGGATCCTTGTCTTTGTAATTGTATCCAGGGCAGTGGGGAGCGGTCACATAGCGGTCAGCGGGCTGTGCTAAAAACGCGGCGACCCGAGTTCGATTCCCGCTCACGGCCACCACCAAAGACGATTATCTGCACTGGTCCTGGGCCTCCCCTAGGTCGAGTCAGCCTCAAATGAGTACCTGGTGCAATGTGTAAAAACATTCCCACTTGGGAGACATACGCAGCCGGGGGTGGTTATGGCCACCCACCCCCTCATGTGCCACAGTGCCGTCCTTCGTAGGTGCTACTCGCTAACAGCACTTGCCCCAGCAGTCTGTTAAGGCTACACAGGCTGGTGGGGAGGGGGCAATCTTTGTCTTTGTACCCATGGCTCGCAGGCAACCAGCCATCAACTTGCGTGGCGCGGGCGTCACAAACCTGTCGAGGATGCGGAAAGCCTCGGCCAGCTGCTCCTCTGTTTGGCCGGCGGACTCCTCCTTCATCTGGCGCACCATCATCACCAGGAACTCTTCGAAGTCGATCGTCCCACTGCCTACAATCAAAACCAAAGGGGACCGTTGTCAGTGTTATCACGCAGTCCGGTTGTGGTAGGATTGGGCTAATCGGAGGTGTGGTCAGTGATGTGGCATTTTAGTTTTGTTTTTCCTTGCACTTCCGATTAGCGTGGTTGGGCATCTTTGGCGCAAAAGAAGTTCAACGTACGTACGTGCAAGTGTTGGTGAACTTACAGTTTATAGCAGTTCCCGGTCAGGGTTTGAGCCGGACAGTTCAGCAAAATTGATGCCTGTGTTGGGGTGGCATGGAATCATTCGTACCGAGATCTGGTACCAGTAATGTGTTGAACTTTTTATTTTATTATACCGTAGACTACTGGACCTAGGCTGCCTGAGATAGATGCGCGGGTTTGGTGTACAGTGGAGAGGGTGACAACGAGGGAGAGGGTGTCAACAGTTGAGAGGGTAACAACAGTGGAGAGGGTAACAGCCATGGACAGGGTGGATGGATTTTGGTCTACTCTTCCGCGCTGACCAGAACGTGTTGGTGGAGATGGGCAGTATCCACACCCACGCTTTGCCCCACCACGTACGACCCTGCCGTGTGTGTCTGTCGTGTGTGTTTGTCCCAAGAGGTGGTGGACGGGGATTCTAGAAACTTGTCCTACTGATTTCCACTGCCGCATTGCCAGGACGTGGAATGGAACCGGCGACCTCCTTCTTACAACTCCAGTGCACGACACATAACACCATGGCTGAGCCCTGCGTTTCTCAGTTAAAAATATATATTTTAAAGTTTTGTTCACTGCTTGCCATAATTGCGGCAAACCAGCACATAATTCGTATCAGTTTCAGCATTCGGTCACTGAAAATGTAAACAAACCAGGGTTGGCATAGTGGCGAGATGTTAACTACTTCGCTAGGTATGAAGGAGGTTGTGGGTTCGACCCGACCCTGACGCCTGTATATTTGGAGTTTGCGTGTCTCTCTCCCCGTAGTCGCGTGGATTTTTCTCCGGTTCCTCCAGTTTTTTCCTCCAAATTTAGAAACATGTATTTAAAGTATTTGGCTGCTATACATTTTCACTTGATAAGTCACTCCGTTGAGCTATTATGTGTGTCCAGGTCGCTTCTTAAAGATAGCTATATAGCCCAGTGGGCCTTAGCTGGTAAAATAAAAAGTTTAGTTTAGTACAGTTTTACAATAAATAAATAAATCTATTTTAGTTCAACCACACGGTAAGAGACTGCTGCACCACTACGTGGGGTGCTTGGCCCGATTTCCCTGAGGCATCGTGTGGCTCTCGTGTGACCCCCGTGTGGCCCTCGTGTGGCCCTCGTGTGGCCCTCATGTGGCCCTCATGTGGCCCTCGCGCGGCCCCCGAGCGGTCCTTGTGTACCGTCCTCGTCCACTTCCTCGATGATGGCGTCCAACTCCTCCTTGGTCGGGGTTTGGCCAAGCAGCTTCATCACCTTGCCCAGCTCACTGGTGCTGATGTCGCCGCCGCCATCCGCGTCGAACATGTCGAAGGCCGCCTTGAACTCTGAGTAGCAGGGGGGGAGGGGGGGGCACGTGGCGATGCGTGGAGGCCTCAGCGCACAGCGACCGTGGCTGTGCCGCCCGTGTCTGGGCTTGGCCAGGACTGTCTGGGAACCGGTGTCGGTATTCGCTTGACAGGAATTCATTTGTGCCGAGGTCCGGTAACTGATATTGTGATTTGCAATTAGATATTTTGGGTTGGTGTTGTTCGTGTAATGCCAACTTTATTTTTAACGTAGCTCCCCACCTCCTGACAGAGCCGATCAAATGATGTTGTGAGGTCGTGGGGAAATACGCCAATCGATTTGGCTTATCAGTAAAACTGGAGGAATGTTGAAACACCCAAGTAAAAATGTAAAAACAAATGATACCAAGTTTTACTGGATAGGATGCTCAGCATCATCAGGTGGTGGTATTTTGGTGAACTTGATTACAGGACACTGCACAGTTTTTAACGACCTTGGCTGACTGGAGAAGGTGGAACGCCTGTTGATGTCCAATGAATCCCACAATCCCTGGATCCTGGTGGACTATATTGTTTGTTCAAAGATTCATGTTTTTTGTTGTTTGCAAATTGATTGAATAATTTCAATAATATTTTTTGTTTTGTTTACGGGGGGTACATTTCAAAACGGCGAACAGCTCCCCCTTACCTGCGATCTGCTCCTCGTTGAGATGCGCGCGCGCATCCGCCTGCGCCTCAGTCTGTAGGGGCAGACAGACAAGGAGGCAGCGGTGAATTAACTTGACTTACGCACGCGCACGACGCGTTGGTTGATTATTATTATATATTTTTCTCAAAAACAGAGAATAACACGGAACCGTGCTGGTTATAGCAACATGCAAATGTCTGCCACTTGATCAACCGTTTACTGCAATGTCGCGTGGCCAAAAAAATCAACCTGCTTCGCACCCTGGGGCGGTCAAGACCGTGGCAACCATGCTTTTTAGACAAACGTCACAGGCCTTGTGTGCGTGCAATACGCCCTCGGGTCCAGCTACCGCGCAATTTGCTTTTACTACCACCGCCCCCTCCCCCAAGCTCATTTCCCGTAGCTCAGTCAATCGTTCGGCGACAGTTTTTTTGTTGCTTAATGGAGCCATCAGAGCAAGGCGAGACATATCGTCAGTCTGGAACTCGATAGACAGAGCTTCATGCCATGTGAGTGAATGGCCCCGGGATACGACACTGGAGCAACTACTTTTTGGAGCCACCCCGTGGGGCCTCTCTGACCTAACGCAAGAAGGAAATCGTTCATGCCCTGCGCATTGGTTCGCCGGTCGTCAGTCATATGGTATATTTACGATTTGTATGATTCAAATTTGGGATATGCCAAATGAAATTTAAAACCTACGCTCGAGAAATAGGCTGAAACCCGAATTCGAACCCAGGGCCTAAGAAGTGTCAGCACGGTGTTCTGCGACTCGGGAATTGGCCTCCCACGAGCCTCCGTCCACTCGTTGCGTGTCGCGATCTGGGAGTCGTGTGTAACACGCAGCGTCTGTGCTTCACACACCTCGGGCGGTGAGTTTTGGGGGCCTTGTTGGGCGCCGGGCTGACGCGTGACGTCCGTCGCCTTCGAAATGTGGCTCGGTGTTACGGGGGAACGAAGCCATCTCTCACTTTTCTTATGCAAATAGTTTTTGTTAAGTTGCTGAAAAGCAACGATTTCATCGGTCGCTGAAACAAAATAACTAAAACTGACTTGAGCTCAGTGAATTTTCGCCTTGTCAAGACATCCATGCACCGACCCAAGTACCGCTTACCTCCCCTGTAATACGGCAGGCGTGTGTTGCATAGTTCACCCCGAATATGTACATGTTCTGTGTGGTGCATGTTTGTGTCAACCGAACAACCCATTTCATGCTGCCACTGGAGTTGCAGCATCGCGTTACACAGATTTGAGGATAGAGAGGACAATTTAGATTATTTATTTTACTTAATACTGCAAACGCCGAGAGCAAATGTGAACGAGCCACAGTGGGAGGGGCATCGACCTCTCGAGCTGCGTTGACACGCTCGCCGAGATACGGCAGCAACAACAGAAAGCCGTAACGCCGCCTTGAAACTCGACTTGGCGGGTTCAAGGGGTGAGGTCACGTGCTTCTATCGTTCCGTGCGAGTGCTGATTGCAAGGGTGTGGCAGACAAAGGTGGGTTATTCCTGGGACGTTATCGGTGTCAATATGCTCGTTGGAAGCTCATCGTGCTGGGAGCAAAGTGGTGTTGGAAGAATTTACAAGAATATTAGAATTTAGTGTCGAGTTAAATGTCTCAATGTTCTATGAGATGTTGTGTTGATGTAATATTGCAAGAATAATTGGCCTTTGTAAATCGGAAAAGATGCGTTTGGATTTTGTTCTAACACACCACGTGGACTCCAGCCGCTGGGAAGCTCCGCTTTGGTGGTGGGAACACGTCACGTGTGTCGTGTGCCTCTCCGTATTACTAATACCCCTTCAAATACAAACCATCACACGCTGCATGCACCTGATTATTGGTAAACACGTTAGTCGTGACACAATGCATAAGCATACAATTCGGTTCTTCTTGACATATCTCTCGGCTCGGAATTAAATAAATATTTCTACACATCCCATCAGCCCCACGGCCTTCTGGGAGGGCATAATTTCAGCAGCATTGGTTCAATACAAGTAACTCTGGACCGATTCCAACATTCACTGTCTCATCAGCGGAGTCAGGCTTATTTGAACGAATGCTCGTGAACTGCCGGATGTTTATAGGCAAGAAAAAGATCCCCCGTATCGCCTTTAATAGGATGTTCGGGCAGGTGCTGTTATCGAGCACCGATGAAGAACGGCACGGCACACCACGCGCGCCAGGCCGCCTTTTGTCTCCGATAATGCGGATGTTTACATACCGCACCAAGTACTACAGAGTCGACATCGGGGAGGCCTATAACCAGTTCAGATAATCGTCACTGTCATGGGTCGTGAGCAGGAATCGAACTCGGGCCAGCGGATTTTCAGCGCAGTGCGCTAACCACTGCGTCACCGCTCCACCATCGTTGTCTTTGTCGCGCGTGATACACGCGCGACAAAATTTTACTGCGCCGATTCTTCTCCACGATACGCGACGCATGCTCAACTATGAGGCGCGTGCAGCGTGTTGAACTCTATTGGTATTTTAACCGGAGACGACCGGGGGACGTGGGCAGGCCACCGCTTGTGAGGCCCTCCCGTGTCGAAGAGCTCCCTGCGCGGTGGTTGTGGTGGTGGTGCAGAGTTCGAATTTGCTCTGGGTTGGCTCTAGGCCGAGAGGGGGGGGGGGTACTCGCCCCCCCCCCGTGCCCCCCGCGTGTCCGCACGGCCACCGTGACCCCGGGAACCCCCACACATCGACTCCAGCCCCGTGCCAATCACTCGCAGCGTCTTGCACGCACGCCTCGTGATGGGCGCGGGCTGTCCGTGTGATGCTGATGATGACGTGTTTCTGTGTGTACTGTATGTGGTTGTATGCACGTGTATACATGTGTGTGTTCGTGTGTACTTCTATGTGTGTCATGTAGTGGCTGTATGTAGTGTGTATGTGTGTGTGTGTACTGTATGTACGCGTGTGTGTGCGCGCGCGCTGTCAACATTAACATCAGCAGCTCAGCAATGCCCCCATGCGCTCGACCCGCGGTGCCGGGGTGGGTATCGGCGGGGAGGAAGGAACCTCAGGGCCAGTCCGAGGGAGCCGCACCCCATGGGCCGTATGAGCCGGGACTGGAGCCGCACTTATCCTGCGCATCACTGCTGCCCGGTTTTTACGTGGGGCTGCTGAGCCAGCCGACTGCAGGAAGCGGCTCACGGGCCGAGCACGACGGCTCAACCCGCCTCCCGGCCAAACCGTGACCCCAGAACCACGTTCCAACCTTTATTATTATTAATGTTTGCAAAACAACATTCGCAAAGGGGTGAGTGAGTAATTTATGCAGTGCACTGCGTTTAATGCATCACAAACCCCTCCGGCTTCTCCCTGCACATGGGGAAAAAGATAAAATGTGACAATTAACACGACACGTGTCACAGACGCCAGGCAAAAGCAACGGTGGAGATCAATACACAGCGTGCTAGCATCACACACACAGAGCAAGCTGGCATCACACACAAAGAGAACACTGGCATCACACACAGAGCAAGATGGCATCATACACACAACACACTGGCATCACACAGCACGCTGGCATCACACACAGAGCAAGATGGCATCACACACACGTAGCAAGCTGGCACCACACACAGCGCAAGCTGGTATCACACACACGTAGCAAGCTGGCATCGCACACAGAGCAAGATGGCATCACACACACGTAGCAAGCTGGCACCCACACAGCGCAAGCTGGTATCACACACACGTAGCAGCTGCTCGCACAGAGCAAGATGGCATCACACACACGTAGCAAGCTGGCATCACACACAGAGCAAGATGGCATACACACGTAGCAAGCTGGTATCACACACAGGGCAAGATGGCATCACACACACGTAACAAGCTGGCATCACACACAGAGCAAGATGGCATCACACACGTAGCAAGCTGGTATCACACACAGGGCAAGATGGCATCACACACATGTAGCAAGCTGGTATCACACACAGAGCACGCTGCCATCACACACACGCAGCAAGCTGGCATCGCACACAGAGCACGCTGACATCACAAATGCAGCACGTCGTCATTCGTTCATTCTCCAGCTTCACGATTCACGCGTGTATCTGGATATGCGGTGCTTATGAGAATAAGTCGTTTGCAAATTAACTAAAATGCTCCAGGCGACACGGATCGACGCGCCCACTCCCTGTCCATTCTGAAGTCACGCGTCTAGGCCGCAGTCAATGACCTTTAAGATGAAACAATCACAGTTGTGATCACAGTGAATAATCATCATCTTGACCGTCGAGACGGAGAACATGAGTGACAGCAAAATTGGCAGACAGTTCGCTGTCTCGCCACAAACAAAAATCTACACATCCTATCAGCCACACGGCATTCTGGGGGAGTGCATGACGTGTGAAGTGCCAACTGGTGGCCTCGAAACATTGAGTAGTTTACCGGCATCGGTTCAGGCAGACCCAACTCTACTCTTTGGTTCTTTCGGTAAAGTCACGTGGAATGTAAATAAATTAAATAATAATAGAATACGACGTTTCGATTGCAACACAAGCAACCATCATTAGGCAAGAATGAATGAGAAAACAAACATAGTAAACTTAGAAATGTAATGCAATACAACACAGAGAGTCGGCTAACACAACAGTCAACACCCTACCTGGTTGATTACGTTTTTCTAAAGATTGCTAAATTTCAGAGAGACAAAACACAGACACGGAGACACATAGACAGACACAAGCAGAGAGAGACACCCAGAGACACACAGAGAAAGACACACGTCTCTCTCTCTCTGTGTTCTGTGTCCCTCTCAAATTTAGCAATCTTTGGAAGAACGTAATCAACCAGGTAGGGTGTTGACTGTTGTGTTAGCCGACTCTCTGTGTTGTATTTAATTATATTTCTAAGTTTACTATGTTTGTTTTCTCATTCATTCTTACCTGATGATGGTTGCTTGTGTTGCAATCGAAATGCCGTATTAAATTATTATTTTAAAAAAAAATTCTACGTGACTTTACCGAAAGAACCAAAGAGTAATTCCTGCAGTCACGAAAGCTTCGAGTCTAGTTTAGACCCAACTCTGTTGATGAGACAGCAAATGTCGAAGCCGGTCAAGGGTTTGCTTGTCGTCGAACCAACGCCGTTGAAATTGTGCACTCCCAGAAGGCCGTGTGGCTGATGGGATGTCTGTAAATATAGATACGCGTTGTTAGGCGCAGAGACAGACGTGGAAAGGATGAGGTGGATGTCTTGCTTGGCTGTGTTGATGGTTTTAATCAGGATGACCTAGTTTGGAAAACTGGTAACGCGCCTGGTGAGATCGAAGATCCGTCAGCATATTTCGAGTTGCTATTTCTCCACAATGGAAACGGCCTAATCGCTGGGGCTGGGGGCCGCATTAGTGACGCCCCTACGGGCTGTCAAGACCAAAAGAGTTGAGATGCCCCTGCGTAAAAAAATCCGCAGAGCCCCCTTTACACCTCACCCGCCGGACTGCTGGTAGTGGGCATTAGCCTAGCGACGACTGCTGCGCTTAATCCCAATGCAGTGATTTGCAGTGTCATTATTTAAAGTTTTGCTCAAAAATGTTTTATCATAACGCCGGTGGCGTCATAATGTGCCTTCTGGATTTCGAAGGACGTCAGGGGGTATCTAACGTCTCCTCTGAAGCGGGTGGCTCGAGGTATTTTTTGTGAGGTGAATACACCCCGCAGTATTAACCAGGGTGGGCTGCCGGAGTTGAACCGCGACCCTCTTGTAACGAGAGGGTCGCGAATGTGCTACTGCTGGGCCGTCCGTGCCACCGCCCCCAAGAGGGGACACGGGGGCTCTGCTCGTGAAAGGCAGCGCCACGAGGTAACTCCACGGCGACGGGCGGACTATTCACGTGTGGTCTCGTACTGCACGTCCGCATTGTGGTCGTGAGCCTCACAATAACAAGCAGCACACGCTGGGACAAAGACAAATACCTCTCACCCCTCGTGTGGGCCACACAGACTGTTGGGGCAAGAGCTATTAGCGAGTAACTCTCCGTGAAGGCTGCCACGACGGCGCAGGAAGTGCCGGGTAGCCAGCTCCACTCCCGGTCACTGTTGTTTTTCCAATGCTGATGTGCACGCAGGCTGAGTATCTGGTATTGGCCGTGAGCGGGGATCGAACTCGGGTAGGTGGGTCGTGGCGCAGCGCGATGACCGTTCCTGCACTACCGTTTCCCCCACATCATGGGCACACGTGCGCGGGTACCGTGGTACGGGGACACGGTGGAGAAGGTAATTGAGGAAGATCTTTGGCGGAGTCGCGCACAGCAATGCGGCCTTCCACGTCAAAGTTAGCGTCTCGGTGCTCAAATGAAAGCTCGTTCCTAGCGCCAGGTAGTGGGAATTCCGCATTAATATGGCAGGTACCATTGTATCCAAGTGTGAAAATCATTGTGAATTCTCCGGCGGTGATGTAGGCTGGCCAGGTGGAATTCCACATTACTATGGCAGACGCCATGGTATCCATGTGAGAATCACTGGAATTCTCCGGCAGTATTGGAGGCTGGCCAGATGGTGCAGCTGAATGATTGACCCCGGCGGGGGAGGGGGGGGTTTGGCGCCTATGTGTGTTGGTCCCTGTATGCACCCCCATCTGGACTTTTTTTTGGCCTAAAAATAAGGGGGGCTGACCCCCACTTGGCCCGGGCACAGCGGCGGAGGCGGTGTCGGCCCTTGTGCTCAATAAGAATACATTTGTGCTTGCGCTGGCACTTGGGTATTTTTAACCGACAGATGAGGGATGCCTAATAAGGAGGCGCGGGGCCAGGAGAGGCGCACGGAGGCTCTAAGCAGATGCTTCCAGACAGGCTCGGGTGTCTCGCAGGCGTGGACAGAGCCGGGGACAGGTGCCGGACACACCCGGAATCATAGCCCCACCACCCGCTGTCCGATATCCACACCCCGCATAGCCCCTAGCCCCTACGCCCCCTGAACCCACAACCTACCCTGGGACACGGGTATCACAGTGGTAACGTCTGCGTGTGCCACAGCAAGGAGGGCTTAGATTTGACTGGGCGCCTCTCTGTGTGGAGTTTGCACGTTCTCCCTGTGCTCTACGGAGTGCGAGTGTTGGTTGTGTGCGAGTAAGTGATGCGTGTGCGTGAGATTGTTGTGCGTGTGTGTGAGAAGTATTTTCTTCCCCTGTCCTGCATGGGTTTCCTCCAGGGTCTCTGCTTTCCTCCTATAGCAAACATACACAATGATATTGGCATTGGTCAAACATCGCAATGCAATACCATCGGTAAGTGATTATTATTGTTATATCCATAGTCCCTAGTCTCTACCCACATCTCTCTCTCCATTATCCTAAACCCCCCCCCCCCCCTCCAAAGCCACCACCGCATACACCCGTGGGCCTCCACCCAAGTTGACTCTCCCCCTTAGCCTCTGGTGTGGTGGCCCACCCCGCTTTACCGCTCTGTGCCCCTCTATCGGGCTCAACATCCGAGGGGAGCTTCGGCGGGTCCTGCCTGCAACCCATACCCCTGTCCACACCCCGGAGGCCCTACCAAACAGCGCGCCATCCGACCACGCCCCGCATACCGCACATCCAAACGCCCCACGTGTGACCACCACCCGCTGGCTCTTCCAACGGGCCGGGCCCGCACTCCCACTAAGCGCGGAAGCCAATCAGGGGCGCATCGGTCGCACGTTCGAGACGGGACGCGTCGCGTACAACGCAAGTGCCACAATAGCCAGATAAAGGTTTGTGTTTAATTGAGTACGGTCTACACGACGCCCATGGAAGTATGATTGAGTAAGGATGCTATTAGGGACAAAGCACTGAACCGGCGCCACAAAGAGCCTGGGTTCAAATCAGGGGCAGCCACCCGCGAATAAAACTGGGTTCGGGTGTGCAGCGAGTCAATGGTCTGAGTCCGCTCACCAAATATAAAAAAAAACAGCATGCTACTTTGCTTGTGCACTTGATTCGTATACACGTCACCACGTGCTTTCTACGTGTCAATCAACACCCTGAACTCCCCTCGTAAACGAGACCTTCCATCTCCAGGGATTTTCCTGGTTAAATAATTTGATGGGATGTTTTTTGTTATATATCTATCTCTCAGAATGTAAATATCATCACCGGTTTTTATTTTATTTCATTTACCACGGTGCGGTCCAATTCCCCGGCACGTGCGGCTCTACTCCGCGCCGACTTGTGGCATTATTGACCGCCTGCCAACCTGAATCAATTGGATGAAATGAAACTAAAAACCCGAACTGTAAATCGAGAACTATTTTGCCCTTTGCACTTCCAATTCGCACGTTGCCACGAACTGAACGACACTGGCCCGAGCAGTCGATGAAGCGCTCAGAGCACATTCGACACAGCATGCGTCCCAGCGTCCTCGCATCGACCGCTACTTTTCAGAAATTGAGCGTTTGCTGCACATCGTAATAATTCACAGCCTTCGTCAAATCGGCCGGGCTTGCAGAAGAACGAGTTATGATCTCGTTCGCCGCTGTCGGCCTTGGCCGGGAATCGAACTTTGGCCTCCGACTCGTGCGCTAAACCAACTCCGCCACTCTGAATCTTCGCTCTCTGGTCAATATTACGTACAGCTGAACGCATTGCATGTGTACGCGCCCTTCGAGAGATCGATACAACGCGTGGACAGATGATTGTTGCCAGTTAAACCTCAATGGTGTATGTACGTATGTTGAACCGCGCTAATTTCATTTGCACACAAATGAAATTGCAACGGTAGCTGCCATTGCATCAAAAGAACGAGTGTGTGTGTGGAGGACCTTGTTGGTGATGAGTGGTTGCATTGGCAATGCTCACCATTCTGGTCGTCTGTTCTCCTCCTCCTTCTCTGTCTCTGCGCCCTCCCAGATGCTCACAGCTCCAGCGCGGAGTGTGAAGAACAGGGGGAGCGCGCTGCTAAGTAACCCCCACACACCTCCTTAATTGGGCTGCCCCCCACTCCCCAACCCCACCTCCAACCCCACCCACCCCGCCTCCCTGGGGGTGGCCCCGTGCTATTAAGACAGCGAGGTAGGGTTTCGCCACGGAGGCATCTGTACAAACATTGAGACAGGCGGTGACATTGGCGAGAAGGGGGCCAACCGCGAGGAATCGGATACAGACCCAAGGCGCCGCACAGATCACGGTGTGTACACAATTCGGGCGCAGCTCATCGCGGCGCTCAGTGGATTTACACGCTTTTATTAATGTGCTCCGTCTCGGTTGTCACCAGCCGTGGTCTCTCCACTGCTGGTTGGGGGGGGGTCCCCACGCTGTTGTCATCCGTCGCGGTGCTGCAATGCCGCAATTCGATCTCTCTTTTGCACGCGAGCTCAATCACCACAGTTGGTGCGCTGCGTTGGCCATGGTGCACAAATAACAACAACAAACTCAACACGGTCCATGTCAATAATAACACCGTTGCCTTGAAATGAAAAATATGTAATGGGCAACGTTTAGGGTAGTGGCCCTTCTTCATTGCACATAAACAGAGAGGCCAGGGAGAGTGGATAATACGATTTTGAGAGTACACTTTACACCACGGGGCCTGATAAGAATTATAGTTTAAAATGCGGCCAGATAAGCAGCTTTTAAATTGGCATATGAATAATCACCTAACAGTAGCATCTACTTATTAAATTCATTTGTATTAAAAGTAACATGCTAAAGTGTTTAACACGTAGGCTTTCGCGACCAAATTCATTCATAATGGATGTTTTTTTGGGTTAAATCGTGTAAATATATAAATGTGTCGTTAAAACCCACCACCACCCGACACAGTCAACGAGTAAGGGTTGTCACGTAAACAGAACGTGCCAATTCGTCACTAGTACAGCACATCGGTGTGTTGGAGAGCCAACCCACGACATTTACAATCTGAGCACGACGTTTCGCTAGTAATTACAGCTAGCTTCATCATGCGACAGCCAGATTTGTGGAGAAGTCTAACTGTTTCGTTCCTTTATAGAGGCGTAGATATGGTGACCACGCTTCTGCGCTCTTGCGCAAAGTGGGGGGGGGGGGGGGGTACTGAGTCAACGTGCATTATGCAAGCATTTAATACACACAATAGACAATAAGGACAAGATCAAAGGGCTCGCATAATGTTATGTCTCGAATTGTAAATGTCGTAGGATTACTCTCCAACACACAAACGGTGTGCTGTACTCGTAACGAATCGGCATGTTTTGTTTACGTCACAAATCTTACTAATTGGCTGTGTCGGGTGGTGGCGGGTTTAACGACACATTTCTAGTTACGCGATCTAACCCAAACACCTCTCTTATGGATAAGGTTGTCTCGCACTCTAGAATACAATTGGAGGTTTAAGTGCAGGCAACAACGTTCACTGAGTCCAGCTAAATGAACCGAATGTCAAAAGTGGACACTCCCCCCCCCCCCACCACCTTATGCATACCCCTTAGTGGGCTTTGTCTGGTAAGATGGGGATGGTTTAGTTTCATTTGTATGTGTTTTGGTGATTTGTTTACCTTTCATGTACTTCGCACTACAATAATGTTTTTGCACTGTTTGTTGTTGTGACGTTCTTGCCCGCCCCGACTGGAAATCTGTGAAAAGATTTTTTTATAGCTCATCAGATTCCTCAAGTATAAATGCATATTCTGAGTCTGAATGTGGAATGTCCACCACTGGCTCATGGCTATAAAGTGGAGATGGTCCACGGTGGTGAGATGTTATATATCTCTCTCGCCTGGTATTCAAAAGGTTGTGGGCTCGATCCAGACCCTGACACCTGCTGTATAGCTCACATGTCCTTTGGATTGCACTCTCATGCCCTTTGGATTGCACTCTCATGCTCACATGTCCTTTGGATTGCACTCTCATGCTCACATGCCCTTTGGATTGCACTCTCATGCTCACATGTCATTTGGATTGCACCTTTCAGGCTCACAATGTCCTTTGGATTGCACCTCTCATGCCCTTTGGATTGCACTCTCATGCTCACATGTCCTTTGGATTGCACTCTCATGCTCACATGTTATTTGGATTGCATTCTCAGGCTCATATGTCCTTTGGATTGCACTCTCATGCTCACATGTCATTTGGATTGCACCTCTCAGGCTCACAATGTCCTTTGGATTGCACCTCTCATGCCCTTTGGATTGCACTCTCATGCTCACATGCCCTTTGGATTGCACTCTCATGCTCACATGTTCTTTGGATTGCACTCTCATGCTCACATGTCATTTGGATTGCACCTCTCAGGCTCACATGCCCTTTGGATTGCACCTCTCAGGCTCACATGTCCTTTGGATTGCACTCTCATGCTCACATGCCCTTTGGATTGCACTCTTATGTGCACGTCCTTTGGATTGCACTCTTATGGTGCTAATCTCTCATTAACACTGCTGTTGTGCGCATATGCGGGAATGATACTCTTATGTGGCGATGGAAGCTCATTCATGTTAATCTCCCTTCCTAATCCCTCTCTCCCTAATCTCCCCCATTAACACAACTGACGTGCTTACGTCCGTGGATGGAATTCCTTTCCAGCTCAGACCTCGCTTGCTTGACCATCGCCACATATATAACCTTGTTGTAACTGCTCTCTCGCTGGTTCAGCAGTTTCACTGATTTATTATAATTTTTGCGCCTGAGGACGACCGCTTGTGTTGCGATCGAAACGTGATTTCTTTTATTTTAAACATACGTGACTTTATCGAAAGAACCAAACAGTATGTATATTTGGGGTTTGCTTGTTCTGCCTGTGGTAGTCGCATGGGTTTTTTTTTGTTCGGGTCCTCCCGGAGTTTTCCCTCCACATTTAGAATCAACGTCACGTGTTTAAGATAATTTGGCTGCTAGAAATGTCCACATGATGACAAGCCACTTTGTTGAGCTACAATTTTTGATAGCCAGGTCACTTCTGAAAAAAAGATAAATAGCTCAGTGGGCCTTACCTGGTAAAATAAAGAAAAGTTGAGTCAAAAAATGTTAAAGTGTGGTTTGAGAAGGAAGCCCAAGAGTCATGGTCTGAGATTAAAATGTTGCCTGGTGGCTAATCACACCTCCGATTAGCACGGTGGGCTACGTACGGTGCGACAAAAGTTCAATATACAGACATACAGTGGCTCAATCCTGCAGTCACGAAAGTTCTAAAATTAAGATTGAACCACTTCTACGGGGAAGTTTTGAGCTTATCCTTTTTTTCTCTCTCTCTTCTCTCTGCCTGTGTCTTCTCTTTGGAATGTTCACACTTAAATTCTAACTTAGCAATCTTTGAAATACGTAATCAACCAGGCTATGCGTTAATTGTGTGTTGACCGACCCTCTGTGTTGTATTACATTACATTTCGATATTTTACTAGGTTATTGAATTTTAGTTTGTCTTTCTCCTGATTTTCAGACTTGCTTGCCGTGTCATCGCACTTGCAGAACCTTGTTTTTTGACCACTCATTGATATGCAAATGTTTTCTCTAACCCCCTCCCTCTCTCTGCCTCCTCCCCCCTCTGTCTATTTAAGGCCACCCCACAGAGATGATCACCCCTCTCTGTTACCTGTGTTGCTCCCTCTATGTATCTTGGTGATATCTGTCTGCTAATATGTCTGTCTATAGTTTTCTGGTTAGATTTTATGTCGCTATTTCATTATACCTGATGATGATTGCTTGTGTTGCAATCGAAACGTCGTATGCTATTATTAAATTAAATTTATTATTTTATCTTTAGACGTGACTTAACCGAAAGAACCAAATAATAATTCCTGCAGTCACGAAAGTTCTAAAATTAAGATTGAACCACTTCTACGGGGAAGTTTTGAGCTTATCCTTTTTTTCTCTCTCTCTTCTCTCTGCCTGTGTCTTCTCTTTGGAATGTTCACACTTAAATTCTAACTTAGCAATCTTTGAAATACGTAATCAACCAGGCTATGCGTTAATTGTGTGTTGACCGACCCTCTGTGTTGTATTACATTACATTTCGATATTTTACTAGGTTATTGAATTTTAGTTTGTCCTTCTCCTGATTTTCAGACTTGCTTGCCGTGTCATCGCACTTGCAGAACCTTGTTTTTTGACCACTCATTGATATGCAAATGTTTCTCTAACCCCCTCCCTCTCTCTGCCTCCTCCCCCCTCTGTCTATTTAAGGCCACCCCACAGAGATGATCACCCCTCTCTGTTACCTGTGTTGCTCCCTCTATGTATCTTGGTGATATCTGTCTGCTAATATGTCTGTCTATAGTTTTCTGGTTAGATTTTATGTCGCTATTTCATTATACCTGATGATGATTGCTTGTGTTGCAATCGAAACGTCGTATGCTATTATTTAATTAAATTTATTATTTTATCTTTAGACGTGACTTAACCGAAAGAACCAAATAATACATACAGTGGCGTTTGGGTGGAGCCCTGCGCCATGGGAGCGACCGCTCTTCGTTGTGTCCCTGTGCCTCGTGCAGTGGTCAGCTCGGTCGTCAGCTACAGCATCAACCGCAGGGAGGTGGGGAAGTGTGGATGAAACTGGATTCGCTTTGAGAAGGGGAGAGCTGCCACACGATCTGGTCAAATAAAAAATAGTTGAGGGACCTTTTCACTTGTGGCAAAACGTGCATTTTTTGCCACAGGTACTGTGTGGTTAATGCAGACTTCATTCCTTGTGAGATGTATCTATTTGGTGCTTGAACATCTTAACACCTGTTTTATTGCTAGAAAGGGTAAAATCTATTCTTATTGCAATCCAAATGACATGATATAGCTGCTCACCCGAGCTATAAATGCTCTGATACGTGCTTTGTCTTTGCACTGTTCGTCTTTTGGCGTTTTCTGGTCTGACACGGGTGAGACTTGGCCATAAAGAAGGTTGCCTCTGGTGTATGCCAATCAGTTTCAAAGACAATACATATATTATTATCAAAGCATGTGTTTGTTTGCAGGTTCACCACAAGTACGTTTGGTTAATGCAGTTCTTGATTCCCTGC